TGAGCAGGAGGCTTGGTAAGCTCTGTGAGGAGGTGACTCTGGTAGATAGGGAGCGAGATCGCACAGGCCTGGCAGCAGGAATGGAAAGGACAAATCAGTCAGGTACAAAGATTTTTATTAGGCTTTGAAACCGATTTCACGTGCTGGTCTGGTTGGGGTTGGAGGTGTCAGCAGAATCATGATGTTTTCAGCAAGTAGATCTGAGAAAATGGGCCTGGCATGTGATTTCCCGTAATTTCAGATAAATTCATTTGACACTGTTGCTAGATAATGCAGAATTTCTCTCTTTCCGTATAAAGCCACTAACCCATTGCTGTTGAGTCGATTCTGACTCATAGCAACCCTGTAGGACAGAGCAGAACTGCCCCACAGAGTTTCCAGGGAGCACCTGGTGTATTCGAACTGCTGGCCTTTTGGTTAGCAGCCATAGCACTTAACCACTACGCCACCAGGGTTTCCATAAAGCCGCTAGCATTATAATAGTAATTCATTATACAGAACATCCATACATTGATCCGTTTAACAGATATTTCACGAGAGTCCGCCATGGGCGAGGCATCGTTCTAGGTACTGGGACGGTTCACTAGGTGTACAGCGTTCACAGAATATGGATGTTGGTGTTAGGAGGGACCCTAAGGCTGCTGATGTTGTGTGCTGTCGACTCTATAGGACAGAGCAGAACTGCCCCGTGGGGTTTCTTGGGCTGTAATCTTTACGGGAGCAGGTCACCAGCTCTTTTCTCCCATGGAGCCGCTGGTGGATTCAAACCACCTACCTTTCGATTAGCAGCTGAGCACTTAACCATGGTGCCTTCAGGGCTTTCCACCTTCAGCTTCATCTAGTCTAATGTCTGTGTTTCCCTGATGAGCACGCAGCTCAGAGAAGGGCAGTGACCTGGTGGCCCTGGAGCTCAGCATTGGCCAAGCCAGGGCTGTCACTGAGGGTCAGCTTTGGGTGCGTCCAGATACGCCACAGGCTGGTCAAGAGAAGGCACCTGGGTGAAGTTGTTCACAGTATATTATGAAGTGAAAAAAAACCCATGTGAGGTGTCGTAAGTGTGTGTCTGTGTATGTGTGTTTGTATCTGCTTGTGGAAAGGTCTGGAAGAATATATTGCAGAAAGGTAATGGTGTTTACCTTTGGGTCGTAGAATTTGAGGTTATTTTGTTTATCTGTATTTTCTTCATTTTTCCTCAGTGCATTATTTGTATAATAAACAATAAAAATAAAAAAAAGTGATTTGTTCCCACACTCTGAAGCCTTCCTTTCGTGGCATGCTGTATTACTTAGGATAAGCTAGGCTGTGCGGTGGTAGCTCAGACACTCTCAGTACCTGTCTACCGTGGGGCAATGGAAGACCCTGTCCCATAGTTACCCAAGGGTAGAGACTGGTGGGGGCCCCACTTTCTTGTAGTATCATCTGGAACAAGGGGCTTCTTTGATAGCCAGTTGCCCCTGCAGGAAGAGAGAGAGAATGGAGACTCGTCCTGTTCCGCAAAGCAGCATGGGCCACTTCTGCTCACATTTCATTGGCCAGAACCAGTCCTATGGCCCCGCTTAACTGCAAGGGAGCTGGGAAGTACGATCTCCTGTTTGCTGCAGAAGGAATGGGGAAGTGGATATGGGTGCATTAGTAGTGACCCTGCACATGTTTGCCATTCCCTGCTGAGTTACTGTAGGTGAATAGTCCTGCTGCCTGCTGATGACGCAGTGAAAAATGAGGTGGGACCTTGACATTTAAATAACAGAGGGCAGATTTTACCAGGTAGGACGTTGCCAAGTGGTATTTGTGTTAAGCTGTAAACCCAACACCAAACCCGTTGCCGTCGAGTTGATTCTGACTCATAGTGACCCTATAAGATAGACTAGAACTGCCCCATAGAGTTTCCAAGGAGTGGCTGCTGGATTCGAACTGCCAACCTTTTGGTTAGCAGTCGAGTTCTTGACCACTGTGCCAGCAGGGGTCTGTGCTAAGCTGTGTACCTAAATCTTACCATGTGTGTGCACCTCCCTGGGTTTACTCAGTTCAGTTCAGTTGGTTGTTGGCATTTTAATAATAACAATTTAGTACCTATTTAGTAGTACACTCTGGCTCTCTAAGGGTGGTATTTAGCCCCAGGGTGCCGTTCAAACGCTCCGAGACCCACAGGCCCAGCTATCAATAGGGGGAGGACCTCACTCCTGTTGGGTGAGTGGTAATAACTGAACACCCAAGATGTGGCTCTGAGTGGTACAGCTGTGCTCTCCTGGTGGGAAACCGCTCCTTCAGTGTGTCCTTACTTCATGGAGAATCTCTTTCTTGGTGCCACGTCATATTCACCCCAGGACCTTGCTGCTGAGAAAGGGCTGATGCTTTCACGTTAGCAGGGGATCCCGACGCTAGGAGGAGAGCACCTGTAAACACGCACAGACGTGGGGCCCCAGGATGGCAGCTGTGAGACATGTCACATTGTCACCAAGCTCACAGTTAGCCAGGACTTAACAGTGCTTCTACTGCAGTAACTGACTTCTGGGTTCTTTTGTTTCTGTAAACATGCTTGTTTGAAGCTTGTGGACTGGTCAGAAGTATTTACTTGCAAAACTAGTCTGTCTCATCCTGACCACTGTCGTCCTCATGGCAGACAGAATTCTAGAGAAGGATGGTATTTGACGGTGTTTTCTGTTTTCAGGACTGTCTTAACTTAAAAGCTTACTGCAATTTTGCTGTTCAGGTGCTGTTTTGGGCAGTTTGCATGGATGTGTTAGTGTTTCACTGATGATATTTTAAACTTCGTTTGACTTCTTATAATCATGGACTTCGAAGATTATCTAGTCAGTCTGGTTCTGGATCATTAGAAACATACGCCTCATTACAGATTCATTTCTCACACGTGTAGGCTCTATGCAGCATTTTTAATGGCATCTGTAGGTTTATATTATAGAGTGAAGTTGCAGACGTGTAGGAAAGACTTAGGAATACTCGCACTGATGTAGTATTTCTGTTTGCTTTTTAGAGTTCATGGGCTGAGAAGGAAAGCACATTGAAGAGATCAGAGAAGGTAATAAGATTTTCCATGCTGAGCTTAACAAGGTTTGCAGAGCTCAGTGTTTGCTTGCACATTCTAATAATGCATCTTTATTGGCAAAAGCAGCCATAGTCGTAATCCCCCTTAACTGTAAACCATGTCATTGTGGTTCCAGAAAGGGTTGGGGTGACCGCTTCCCAAGGTGGGAACTAGTTCTGCGAAAAGAGATGCTTGGCCAAAACGGTCATTTCAGATCGCTGACTTTTATTTCAAGGAACATTTCTAAACCAGAGTCAAATTTCCCTTAAAAAAACAGAAAAATTCCTCTGGCTTTCTGAGTCTATATCAGGTAAGGCTCAGGAAGGAGAAACCGGCCTGAGCTGTATCATATGTTGAGAAAGCACGTGGCTTGTGCTTCCGTGGCCGTAAAGCCTGGTCGTTACCAAACAGGACTCGCATTCATCAGTGGTGAGTGGTTTGACCCCTGTAATCCGTTCTGTAAACTTGTTCTGTAAAGGACCAGGTAGTAAATATTCTAGGCTTTGTGGCCATGTGGTCTCTGTCACAGCCACCCAACTCTGCCACTGGGACACAAAAGCAGCCACAGATGATACGTAAATGACTGAGCATGGCTGTGTTCCATGACACTCTCTTTATGAGAACAAGCTGTGGGCCACATTCGGGCCATGGCCATAGTTTGTCGGCTGCTGATCTCTAGTGCTAATTACCTGCGAAGAACTTGGGAGGACAAACTGAAAACCTGATTTTTTTTTTGATTATAGATATCATGTTCTTATTTGAGCTTACATTTGACCACCGCCATCTGCACTGAGCCCTGATGGCACAGTGGTTAAGAGCTTGGCTGCTAACCAAAAGGTCTGTAGTTCGAATCCATCAGCCGCTCCTTAGAAACCCTAGGAGCAGTTCTACTCTGTCCTATAGGGTCGCTGTAAGTCGGAATCGACACTTGACCTTTGCTACAACTGGCAGGTTTAATGCTGTTCTCGTACAGCAGTGGGCAAGGTGCCCTGCCTGTAGAAATTGCCCCTACACGCACGGTGTGGTTGGAGCGCCGATATCTGCGTGTAGTTACAGCTGTCCCCTTCATCTGCCTGCTGTGCACCCTGAAATTCCCACCTCAGCCTGTCAGCTTCGGGAGTGACTGATGTGTTGCTACGGCTGCACCATGGTTACCCAGGGAGGACCAGACACTCTAAGAACCAGTTCTTACTCCCTGAGCCTCCTTTCTCTGGATTCCACGCGGAACACTTGCTCTCCTTCTCTTACGACAGCGTGACTGTTGTCTCTGATCTCTGTGATTGTGTGTTTAGCTGGACCAGACTAGACATAAACACCTGGTGTCCTTGATGGTATGTTGGACGTCCTCGTTGGGGCCTGGATGACACCTGGTCTCAAGGAGTTGCTCACCGACTCGGAGAAGTGCTGGTCTCTGCTCCATGTTGACTCCTGCTCGCGTCCACTTCAGAGTGGGCGGTTCAGAGCCCATGGGTGACCTGCCAGGCACTGGGGCACCTCCACCCCGCCCGTTAGGTGGCTTTTTTGGCCAACGGAGTTGGTAGAAGTTAATACTTAAGAAATAATGGTGCAGGCCTAAGGTCTATTCACAGTTATTTGTGGTGGTGTTTCCCCAGAGAGACAAAGAGTTCCTGAAAGCCACGTTTACCCTGGTGTACCATGACTGTGTGTACCCGCTGATCCATTCCACGCTCCTGCCTCCCTTCAGGTGGGCAGAGGAGGAGACGGAGGCCACACGCTGGAGACTCATCGCTGACTTCCTTAAGCAGAACCAAGAGAAGGAGGGCGCTCTCCAGGCTCTGCTGTCACCGGAAGGGGTTCACGAACCTTTTGAGCTTTCAGAGCAGACCTATGACTTCTTAGGTGAAGTCAGAAAGAACGCAGCCTGACAGTGGTTGGCTGCCACCCTCAGCCTCCCCGGGGTCTGGTGGACCCTCCCTGGTGACAAACGAGATGACAGAGCCAAAATAACTGTCACAGTGTAACTTGTGTACCTTTTTTTGTACAGACCTTGTTTTGTAATAAGTATTTATCCAATAATTCGAATATGTTTTAAAGCAATAAAATAAATTTTTATAATACTGTCATATCTAAATTTAAAGAGAATTTTTTTTAAAAAATCATCTAACTTAAGTTTTACATTGACTATCTATAGATTTGTATAAAAGCAAGATTTTATCAAGAGCTAAATTATGATTATTCAAGAATTTGAAAAGATAATCCATGGAATGTGAGAAGATATTTGTGAATCACATATCTGATAAGGGCCTAGTATCCAGGATATGTACATTTATGATTATTGCTCATAAAATTTATGTTGACACATGACGGGGAAATCAGAGTAACCTCTTTAAGGAAGTTGTGTTGTTAATTATGTAATTCAGTTTAATATGTAAATGTATTTATCCTAATTAGATACAAAAGCAGAATCTAGTTTTGCCTTTTCAAACCCATGTAGTAAGTACTCTTTCTATAAGAACCTTTTGCACATTAAGGAATGGGATTGACTCACCTTTTCAAAGAACAGAGATGAGCTAATCGAGTCTTGTTGCATTTCAGATAATGTGTAGTTACTGGTAAATTGTTCCGGGCCCTTACTGTTAATAAGACTAGAATAGTAGCAGCTGGCGTTTGTTGAGTGCCTACCAGCGACTCAGACAATGCTCTTAGTTCACTCTGCTACTCCTCACGACGGCTGTAGTCAGTAGGCACTTTTTTTTCCTCTTACAGCGTAAGAAACAGGTTAAGTAATTTGCCTGAAGTCAGAGCTGGTAAGTGGCACAGGTAATATACCAAGCAGAGATAGCATGTGTAATTTTTTAAAGCCTAAGCGCTTCCCCTCATTAGTGCCAGCCTTTAAAGATTTCCCGTGAAAATAAACCGTGCAGAGGCCATTTGAAAGAGTGGGAGTTAGAAAGTGTAACTTAGATAGTGAGAATACTATCCGAGGCACTGTTGCTTCATGTTATAAAACATCCGGCTACATCTCAGTTCACTGAGGCCAAATCCTAACCTAAGCTTAGCGTGGGCCTCCAGCTCAGACGGTGACGGCGCGAGAGCCAGCAGCCACAGAGGCGGCGACGCGCTGACCGGCGCAGAGCACTCTGTCTGTCGAGGGGCAGATACAGGCAGCCCTTCGTGGGTGTCTGCACGCCCTCTGCAAACGCCGCCGCCCCGCGCTGGAGATGAGCTAGAGTCAGAGAAATCTTCACATGAACCCCTCACTGGGAAGGCCTTTTTTCTGTAAATTTTTTTATTCCTAAGTGGAAAGTTCCACATTTTTTTTCTTTTTTCAACCATTTGACTTATTCTTGGCATGAAGCCACGGGTGGAGTATTTTGAATGAAAGAAAACACCGCTGTGAGTTCCTTTCAGGGAATGCACAGCATGAAGGAAGGAGGTAGCTTTCTTTAGAACGTGTGTCCAAAGACTGTCCTCTCTGTTTCTGGGAGCACATGTCACGAGTGGGCAAACGGGGATAACGTCATAGTTTCTGACACAGAAAAGTACACACAAGAGAACACAGTTCCCACAGGCCAAAAGGCGGGGCACCGAGTGAGTCAGTCAAGGAGAAGGGACACATCCGTGGGGTGGGGTTTTTACTGCCATTGAGATGCCCGTGTCTCAGCTGGTGGAATCTTTTTTTTTTTTCTTTCTTAACTATGAAACCTCTCTGACTTTTCAAATATCACTATTTAGCTTCCAAAACAGAAAGAGGTTGTCAAGGAGCCAAAAACATCCTGGAAACGAATCCTTGGGGGTCTGTACAAGGACGTAACTCAACAACACTTTGAATTAATTGCGAGAGCCACGGTGGGAGCGGCAGTAGGGCTACCGGCAGACCTTTGCTAAGTGACCACACACAGTACCTATCAGTCCGGTGCCTACCCATGGGGCCAGGGAGACGCCCCACATCAGAACCACCTGGGGGGATCCTAAGCTGTAAACTACTGTACTCTCCGACCTCCCAACCGCTTGTAGAATGACACTGGTAGAATGACATCTGTCTGGTGTCCACTGGAGGTGAAAAATGTTGCAATTCCCTTGCCTGTGTGCTTAGGCCAGTTGTTAGGGGACATGGCATATGTTAAAGAGAAGATGCAACCTGTCTTCAGTGGTTTTATGGTCCAATACATGAGGCCAGACCGACTCACATGGACCCCGTTGAAACATACGACACCGTGTAAAAACGGAGCAAGTTTGACTTGCCAACCGGGTAGCAGCTGCGAAACCCGTCAGTTGAACGAAGGAAGGAGCTGGAAGTGCTGTCTGCTGTCTGAGGGCCTCACCATTGGCAGCACCGTAGGTATCCTTTGCTGTGGGCTTGCTCAACTCCATCTTGAGTGATGTGTTCCAAGCTGGGAGGTTTTCTTCGAGGCTTGGGGGTGACCAGGGCTGTCACATAGCTGCTTTGTGTTCTGTTTCCTCAGAACAAAGAGAGACAGAACCCTACTTACTGTAGTTGCTGCACATGTAAGGTCTAGGATTGTCCATTTACTCGGCACGGGTTTACTGAGCACCTGCTATGCACCAGGGACGGCATCAGGCTTTGAGGATCCAGGGAGAGCAGCTCTGATGGGGTCCCTGCCCTCACACTGTATGGGGTGGACAGTAATCACACAGAAGTACCGTGGAGGACTCTGATGTGGTCCCTGCCCTAACTTACAGTGCATGAGGCAGACAGAAATCACCCAGAAGTACCGTGGAGGACTCTGATGGGGTCCCTGCCCTAACTTACAATGCACGAGGTGGACAGTAATCACACAGAAGTACTGTGGAAGAAGGGTACAGAGGGCTAGAAAAGCCTGTCCTTGTATCTCGTTGTTATATTTTAAATTGCATCAATATTGTGACAGGTGCAAAGTGTTCAGTATACACATATCCCTTCTTAGATATCTGCACTCTTCCCACGCTGGAGACCAGGTAGGAACTTGGAGGCCTAGGGGTCTATGACTCAGTAATGACTGACACCGGATGAGGGATTACAGGTACTTGTGCAGCAATATAAAACAGAAATCATTGGTGAAATACAGATTAGGTTCAGGACTTTGGTAGTGTGTCAGTTGTATAGCCCATGTCTCCTACCCTGTAAGTCAGGCTGAACCTTAAGCTGCTCACCTGTGTCTGACTCTTCCAGGAAAGATTAACTTCGCAGAACTTTGTCCTTTCAAAGGGATCGTTTTGGAAGATAACAAGAAAGGTTCCACGCTTTCTGATCTTTTCTGCAGGTAGGCATCTCTGGATGACCCAAACATGATCGCATTGAGTCTTTTGTCTTTTCTGGCAGTTTTCCTTTAACCCTGAAGTGCGTGTGCCTGCCCAGATTCCACAGACACCAGGAACCAGACTCAGTTCTGCCTGGCGGCTGCAAACGCATCAACCACCACCTCCTCCCTAGACTGAGTCTGTGGGTATTCGCGTTCTCTCTACCCCACTGGACAACCACAGTGGCCTGACTTGTAGAGATAGTAGTTGCAGTCTAGTTGTGTCTGGATCATCAGGCGTGAGCCCAGTGGGGAATCTGTCCCTGCAGTGTAAAGGGGGCTGGGGGCCGGGCTCCTCTTTCTGCAGTGGGAAGACGTTGTAGTGGACATCTGAGGCCCCTGCAGCCCAGTGTTCATCAACTTCTCTCCTGGTAACCACGCGCCACCCACCCACCCACTCACACACGCACAGTTGCACACACACACACACACCCACACTCACCTATACCCACACACCCACACACACATACACTCACACAACCTTCTATTCCAGCCCCAAGAGTGGACTCTGATCGGCTTAAACAGATCAACATATCTCATTCCCCTGGCCACAGTGATTAGGCTGGGAGTGGTCCAGTGAGAGCGTCCCCTTCCCTGGACAGTGCAGAGGGAGATACGAAATCTGGAGCTGCTGCATGAGGCAGCGATTTTGCTACCTTGAGTGGAGAGTCTAGAGCCGTGTGTACATGGAGAGTAGCACCAAGTGAGGTTAAGAATGAAGCCAGCTACAGAGAGGGCAGAGCTGACAGAATCTAGGTCCTTGGTGGCATTGTTTGAGTCACTAGAGCAAGTCTCACGTAACGCCAACATTACCTCTGAACTTCTCAGTTACCTGAGGTAATAAATCCCCTTCATTGTTAAAGCCAGCTAGGGTTGGTTTTTCCAACATGTCCACTGGAAAGAATCCTGATAGATACAATGGTCTATTCTTTCCCCAGCATCTCTGACTTTCTCCTGGCCTGATCTTTATTTGTCAGGCAACTAGTAAATCTTTTCTGAACTCTCAAAAGATATAAAGCAAATTATTGGTGAGGGGAAGAGTTTGGGGAAGAGGAGTAAAAAGAGGTAAGTATTAGACTCCAATCTTTATGACTGAGAAGGTAGATTTCGTCATTCAACAACATTTATTGAATACCCGCTTCTGTGCCAGGTCGTATTCAAGATGGTGGAGATGACGGTGGTCCACCACATGAAGAATGTTACTGCTCTTCTGAAGTCTATGTTCTAGGGAAAGAAACACCGTTGCTGCTCTTCTGAAGCCTACGTTCTAGGGAAAGGAACACCGTTGCTGCTCTTCTGAAGCCTACGTTCTAGGGAAAGGAACACCGTTGCTGCTCTTCTGAAGCCTACGTTCTAGAGAAAGGAACATCGTTGCTGCTCTTCTGAAGCCTACGTTCTAGGGAAAGGAACACCGTTGCTGCTCTTCTGAAGTCTACATTCTAGGGAAAGGCAGAGGGCAATAGGGCAACAGGCTAATCAATAAATACACAAGAAAAATATAGAGGCAAGTTAAAATAGGCTGACATAGTTTCGGTTCTGGTCAAATAGAGAAGGACATTAAACCCACTCTCTTTCACTGAATGCAACCAAAAGCCCTGAACAGATGCATGGAACAGCTATCTGAGGACTCTAAAAAGTAAATGATGGCAGGCAGATTTGGGAAGGAAACCAGAATTCAAAGTATCACCAACTGGTGGTGAGTTTCCCATTTTGTTTCCTCTGGTATTTCCCAGCCTGGGCTCAATGACAACCTAAAACCCAGAACTGCATATAGGATGCAGACAGAAACGGTTGCAACAGAAGCCCTCTATTTCTGGTCTGAGGAATGGGTAAGAGGCCCCTATGGGTCAGAGAGAGTGTAGGAAACCCCTGCTTATTTGTGTGTGGTTTTTTTCTGTTGTGGTTGTTGTTTTTATTCTCTCCTGCCCCAGCTCCCATCCCAGGTGTCTTAGGCTGGGTTCTCTAGAGAAGCTAAACCAGTAAAGCTTATCTATAGAGAGATTTGTATCAAGGAAATGGCTCACGTGGCTGTAGAGGCTAGAAAGTCCCAAGTCCATGAGTCAGGCTGGAGCTTCTCCTGATTCATATAGCTGCAGGAGCTGGTGAACCCAAGATCAATAAGTCAGACAGCAAGGCTGTGGCCCTTAGGCTGTGGAGATTGACAAATCCCAAGACTGGCAAGCAAAATGGCAGGTAAGTTGCTAGCTTGAGTCTCAAGAACTGGAGGTCAGAGGGACAGGTGCCAGCTGTAGAGCCCAGAGTGAGCAAAAGCCACAGGACTTGCTAGAAAGTCCACCTATGTTGGATGCAGGCCACACCCCCAAGGAAACTCCCCTTCAACTGAGTGACTACTCACAGCAGATCCCATCATGGAAGTGATCACATTATATCAGATCTCATCATTGAAGTGATTACATCATTATACGACTGCCAAACTACATCATAACTGCCAAACCACTGAGAATCATGGCCCAGCCAAGTTGACACACGACCTTAACCATCATGCCGGCAATCTAGTGAAAGCAGTGATGGTCACAGCAGCCAGAAAGATGCCTAGAATTCTGAAGAGGGAGAGCGGAACTCTTCTCTCTGACCAGAGGAAATGTGGTCCCAAGACTATGGGGGAAATCACTGTTGTTCTTTTTTTTTTTTCCTTTCTCTTTCTTTCCTCTCTCTTTTTGGCCACAGAGGTAGACACAGTTGCAGGAAGTGCACCGGAACAGAGAAACTAAAACCCTGGTTTTCCAGCCAGAGGACCAATGTGGTCATTGAGGAAACTCCTGAGAGCTGGAAAATGTTGGGGGAAATCATGAAGAGAAGGGGGTTCAAGAAAGTGATCCCATAAGGTAGTATAGGAATGCCTGGGTTCACCGCCAAGCTGATGCTAAACAGCACACAAAAGGCTTTCAGAACTGAACTACAAGGCCCCAGACTGGTCCCACGTCCAAGACTAGCACACACACAACAGATCTAATACCACTGTGAAGCCTTGAAAATTGAACTGACAATGGAATCACAGCCCAGAGGAAGCAGATAGGAGCTTGCAACCTAAACTTAACCAGGTTGATTGCTTGCTAAACAAACAAAATCAACATTCTCCATAGGGTTTAAGCAAGACCCATAATCCCATAACATAATATTCAAAATGTCCAGGATACAATAAAAATTACTTGATATTTGAAGACCCAAATATCAAGGAAAAAGACAACCAAGAGACCCCAGCTTCAAGATGACACAGTTATTGGAATTGAGACATTAAAGCAGTTATTATAATCATGCTCCAAGAAGTAAGGGCAAACCCTCCTGAAATGAATAGAAAGGTAGAAAGTCTAAGCAGAAAAAATAAAATTCAGTTGCCAATGAGTCCCTCGCTACTCATGACGTCCCATGTTCTTCAGTGTAGAACTGCACCCTGTAGGGTTTTCATGGCTGTCACCTTTCAGAAGCAGATCCGCCAGCCTTTTCTTCTGAGATGCCTCTGAGTGGGTTTGAATGGTCAACTTTTCGGTTAATAGTCCAGCACTTAACCATTTGTACCATTCAGGGACTCCAAAGCAGAAAAAATAGATGATACAACAAAGAAACAAATTGAAATTTTAGGAATAAAAAAGTGTAATAACCAAAATCTTAAAAAATTCACTGGATAGACTGAATAACAGAATGGAAATGATAGAGGACACTTAAGTCAGTGAATTCAAAGATCAATTTAAATTTTCCAACCTGAAAAACAAGAAAACAAATGTAAAAAAAAGAAAGAATAAATCCTCAGGAACCTGTGGGGTAATACCAAAAGGCCTGACATTTATGTCATATGAGTCCCAGAAGGAGGGGATGAAGGCTGTAGTGAAGAAAATAAAATATATTTAAAGGAATAATGTCTTTTCCAAATTTGGTGAAAGACAAAGTTACAGATTAAATAAGCTTAGTAAACACCAGACAGGTAAGAGCAAAGAAATCCAGGCCCAGTCATATCATAATCAAGCTACTAAAACTAAAGACAAAGAAAAAAATCTTGAAAACATCCAGAAAAAAAAACAAAGCATTAAATATATTTAGTTTTAGTTTCTTAGTGCTGCAGTAACAGAAATACTGCAAGTGGGTGGCTTTAAGGAACAGAAATTTATGATCTCATAGTTTAAGAGGCTAGGAGTCCAAATTCAGGGCGCTGACTCTAGGGGAAGGTTTTCTCTCTCTGTCGACTCTAGGAGGAGGTCCTTGTCTCTTTTCAGCTTCTGTTCCTTGGTTCTTGGGGATCTTCATGTGATATAACATCTACCTTTCCCCATCTCTGCTTCCTAGCTTCGGTGCCTAAACTGCTCTCTTTATATCTCAAAAGTGATTGACTTAAGACACACTTAACACTGACATGTCCTCATTAACATAACAAAGAAAACCTTATTATGGATTGAATTGTGTCCCCCAAAAATGTGTGTCAGCTTGGCTAGGCCGTGATTCCCATTATTGTGTGATTATCCACCATTTTGTCATCTGATGTGATTTTCCTAAGTGTTGTAAAGCGTATCTCTAGGATATTAATGAGATGAGATTAGAGGCAGTTATGTTAATGAGGCAGAACTTAATCTACAAAATTAGGTTGTGTTTTAAGTCAATCTCTTTTGAGATATAAAAGAGAGAAGAAAGCAGAGAGACAGGGGGACCTCATATCACCAAAAAAGCAGTGCCAGGAGCAGAATGTGTTCTTTGTACTTGGTAACCCTGTGCTGAGAAGCTCCTAGACCAGGGGAAGACTGATGACAAGGACTTTCTGCCGGAGCTGATGGATGGAGAAGGCCTTCCCCTGGAGCTGGTACCCTGAATCCAGACTTCTAGCCTTCTAGACTGAGAGAATAAATCTTTCTTTGTTAAAGCCATCCACTTGTGGTATTTCTGTTATAGCAGCACCAGATAAATAAGGCAACCCTATTCCAAAATGGGACTACTTCCACAGGTGCGCAATTCACTGCTCTTGTTACTGAACAGGGCACTGGGCCCTCCCCAGGCCCCAGCTCTCAAGGCAGTCCTCCCCATATCCTCGCTCCACATGGGATCGGCTTCCAAAATGACCTGCAGAGGCCAGGCTGAGGCCACAGAGGGCGGGCAGACGGAGCCCCAAGCCCCAGGCATCCTGAGCAGAACCTGCGGCCACGCCGAGGCGCCAGGCCTTTCTGCAGGGCGGGTAAGAGAAATGAAGGTAGAGAGGAGGGGCGCTCAAACCCCCAGACCCGGCATCTGAGTGAAAGGGTTGCTTGTCTCCGAGTCACAGACGTGCAGCCAGCCCCCACACTCCACAGTCAGCGGCGCCAGGAAGGAACTGCCTGGCCCCAGGCCCCACTCTTGGCTTGGGTCTGGCTGGGGGTGGAGGGGCAGGATGGGCTGGGAGGGAAGGAGGGTCGGGCTTGGTCCTCCTGGTGCCCACCCTCTGTCCACAGGAGAGCAGCAGAGCCGCCGTGGCGGGCCCCTCTCAGAGGAAACGAGGACAGGAAGGAGATATAGAGAGGGGTCCAGAGAAGGAAGCAAAACGCCAAGTTCCCAGGGTGGGGAGCCGGAAGTGAGGCCACTCCTCCCCATTCTGGTTGAGGCTGGGGTTTCCCCTGAGGGCGGAGAAAGAAGGAGTCACACAGGAGGGGCTGATGGATGTAGGAGGCAGCGTTGTCGACGACAGGCCCTGTAAACTCGATAAGTTCCTTGATGTAGTTCTTTCTCCTCACCCAGAAAAGCCCACAGCAGGGCTGCGTGAGCACCGGAGGCCGGCTCCTAGTAACATGTTGCCGTCTAGTTGACTATGACTCATGACGACCCCACCTGTGTCAGTGCAGAACTGCTTTCTTGGCCATGATCTTTAAGGAAGCAGATCTCCAGGCCTTTCTTCCGTGGTGCCACTGGGTGGATTCAAACCACCAACTTTTATGTTAGTAGTCTAGCGTAGACCCTCAGTAAATGGTCTGTCACCCCAAAACAGCCCCAGCCTATCCTCTGGGCAGAGTAGGGGTGAGGTGGCCGCAGCTGGCGTTGCTTGGAGTCCTGTAATGAGGAGTTCAAACATTCCTCTGGGGAGAAAAGCCCAGAAAGGACCTCCCCGCGCCCCCTCCCTGCTCCCTGGCTGCAGTTCCCCCGCTGGCAGCGAGGCCTGTCTGAGGCTGGCTCCACGTTCCCTGATGACGCCTGGGCTGCACTGAGTGGAAGGACCTGCTCGGCTGGAACGCCGTTTCCCTCCCCGGCCTGTGACCTCCCATGGGTGTGTCAGGCAGGGCTGATATTTGAAGGGCTGTGGCCGCAGCGAGCTGCTGCCGCCAGGGCACGGGCGAGTGCGAGAGATGGCCTCCCGGGATGCCCCACCGGCCACCAGCTACGCCCCGTCCGACGTGCCCTCTGGGGTGTCGTTCTTCCTCTCCATGCCCTTCGCCTTCTTCCTGCCCGAGCTGGTGAGTGTGGCCCCCTCACGGCGGGGGACCTGGGACCGGCGCCCGCTCCCAGGGGAGGAGACCCAGGGCCCATTTCCTCAGCAGCTGCTGTTGGCTTCAGTACCCACCCCCCGAGACACACACACACACACACACACACACACACACTGGGCTCAGAACTGGGATGCGTCTGACAGACTCCAGCCAGATCCCTTCACCCTGTGTCCGTCCAGTCTGCAGGATGCTCGCGTTTCCTTTTTCCAAACAAAACTCCGCTGTGGGTGAAGGTGGCTCTCCTGGTGCTCGGAGGGGTGTGGGCATGTTGCTGAAACATCCAGGATTCTCAGGAGGATGCTGGAAATGGACTTGTGTTATAGGATTTCTGTTCTTCAGGCTTGTGTTTGTTCTTTTCTGAAGTTTAAAATGCGGGGCTCGGCCTCACGTTCTGAGAGGAGAGATGGCTTTAATTGTCCTGTTAGCTGACTGTGAACTTTGGTTTGTGTGCGCCCCACACACAAGGTAGCTTCCGGCACGGCCACGAAACGGGCGTGTTGGGCGCCCGTTCGCCCGTCAGAACCCTTCTCTGCGTTACTCCCTGGGGTGCCTCACAGCCCAGCTGTGGCACTAGTCCCTGCCAGAGGCTGAGCGCCCGGTCTGCAGGGCTCTGCATATGAATACAGCCATTCCAGGAATAGCACACCTCTGTCAGCAGGGTGTTAGGTCCTCTTTTCACCCACGTAGAGACCAAGGCTCGGTGAAGAGTTCAGGGCAAAGGGGTTTGTTTTGACCTTCAAACACTTTCTGAAATGTCTGGCTTGTGGGCAATGTTTTCCTACCTGCCCTGACTTGGGCAGCGCTGCTCCTGGGCAGGGAGGAGCAGATAGAAAGTGGCTCCACCTTTAAACTGCCCTTCTCACCCTCCTCGTCTGCCTGCAAGGCTGAGCTGGCCTTGAGTGGCTTCAGGTAAACTGGTTAAAGAGCGCCCACTGATGTCAAGGAGAAAGGCAAGTCGGGTAGGGCGGGCTGTTGGGTGGCTCTCGCTGAAACCCCACCTGAGACGCAGGTTTCTGCCAGGGCTGCCGCCTCCGAGACACAGGAGCGGGCATCCTGCCAGACTGCTGACATCTTAGTGCCCTTGGGAGTTGTGTGTGCCGGGACCTGGGCGTGTCCCTCGCTGCCAAAGCACCCACGTAGACCTCCATGATGGGGCTGGCTGCATGGCTTTTTACTGAGTACACGTGCCTTCAGGTGGTTTCTGCGTGCTGGAGAAGAGACCCCCACAGTCTCTCTCCACAGTGGCCTGTGCTTGAGGGGAGGTGTCCGGTGGGGCTGATTTCCGAGGCTGGGGGCAGAAGAGGGAAAGGCCCAGTGGCCAGGAGAGAACAACTGGCACGAGGCCGGAGGGACAGGCTGGGGAGGGGTGGGCGGGGTGGGTGGGTGGTCAGACGAACAGCTCAGGTGAGACTCTTCAAGAGAGGGGCTCATCACGGCACCCGCCCTCACAATAAGCCTGCACCTGGGACTCAGACCAAAAACCAAACCCACTGTTGTCAAGTTAATTCTGACTCATAGCGGCCCTATAGGACAGAGTAGAACTGCCCTATAGGGTTTCCAAGGAGCAGCCGGTGGAGTCAAACTGCTGACCTTTTGGATAGCAGCCGAGCGCTTAACCACTGTGCCACCAGGGCTCCTTACTCTTCACTCAGCTTCCCTCATGTTCACATCTCACATGTACAATGACAGAAATCAAGAAATGAACATCGATACTGTACCGTTCATCATCCTATAAACCTTATTCAGTTTTGTTAATTTTTCACTAATACCCTTTTTCTGGTCCAGAATCCCACATTGCATTCACTTGTCACCTTTCTTCCATGTCCTTTCGTGTGGGACAATTCCTCAGTCTTTTTCTTGACACGTTTGAGAAGTACCGATCAGTTATTTTGTAGAATGTCCCTCAGTTGGGCTCGTCTGATGTTTTCTCATTTTAATTTTATTATTTTTAATTTACAAGTAATCTTTATTTGTTGTTGAAAACTTAGAAAATACAGAAATAAATACAATCCATATATAACTGGGATATGTCTTTGTAGATATCATTAGCTATTTCTAGATATTCCCATATACTTAGGCATGCATCTAATGGAGTTACACTGTACATGCTGTTCCGCACTTGCTTTTCCCCTAAATGGGCATTTATAGCACAGAATGTGAAATCATGTGTGGCTGATATCTGGGGTGAGGGATGGGGAGGTAAGTAGGGACAGAAGGAGAGAATATTGAGGTTGTGGGTGGTTCTGACCCCAAGACTCGCTGGGCTGGAAAGGAGCGGGCAGAACCAGCCTCACCGCAGGCCCCTCTACCTCTGAACACCTGGGTGTGCTGCCTGCGTCCGCCCAGTGGGGTGACCACAGAGCACCAGGCCTCGGGGTCCCAGCAGATTCTCCTCCTTGGGGGCAGCAGCATCATGGAAAGGAGCATGTTTTTCTAGGGCCATGAGTCCAGAGGGTGTTAAAGCCTGGAGCTCAGGCTAGCAAGAAGAGGCAGAGAAAGCAAAAGCCCGTGATCTGGATTCAGAAGTTGTCTGTGATCCGGGGCAGCTCGAGGCGGGCGTCAGAGGTGTCTGCAGCCACACTTCCCTCCAGCCACTTAAACAAGGGCTTAAACGAGACCCGGCTCTCTCCCCGTCTGTTTCCCTAAGGCCCCGTGCCACCGTTGCTGGCCAGCGGCATTCTCTTGCTCTTTTGTACAACATCAGAACTAGGAATTAGACATTGGAAAAACGTGTGCGTGGGTTTTCATGCCATTCTATCAAGTGTGTAGATTCATGTAATAACCATCACAATCAAGATATCGAACTATTCCATCACTACAAACGTCTTCCTCCTGCCACTCCCTCCTAGTCACACCACCCCTCCCCGCACCCCTAATCCCTGCCACCACTGATCCAGTCTCCACCCCTATAATCCTGTCGTGTTGAGGAAGTTATGTAAATAAGTGGACTCAAACAGTATGTGATCTTCTGAGATTGGCTTTTCCCACTCAGCATGACTGAGATCCATCCAAGCTGTTGCTGGTATAAATACCCATTGCCATCGAGTGGATTCCGACTCATAACGGCCCTACAGGACAGAGCAGAACTGCCCCATAGGGCTTCCAAGGAGCGGCTGGTGGATTTGAACTTTGGGTCAGCAGCCTAGCTCTTAACCACTGTGCCACCAGGGCTCCGCAGGTATCAATAGTGCGTTCCTTGTCCTTGCTGAGTAGACGCTGGTCATTGCGTGTTCCTGCAACTAGTCACCTATTGTGGGGCTTCTGGATGGTTTCCAGATTTGGGCTGTTTCAAATAAAACTGCTATGAAAATTTGTGTACAGGTCTTTATGGGGAGGTACATTTTCATTTCTCTGGGAAAAATGCCCAAGAGTGTGATTGCTGGGCTGTGTACTATACTATCTTTAGTTTTTTAAAGACACTGCCTAACAATTTTCCAGAGTGGCCGGGCCGTATCACATTCCCACCAGCTACGTATGAGACCGTTCGAGACTTTAACATTAAAATTCATATTTCGTTTCAGTTTGTTGTTGACTTTCTATTTGTCATTGGGAAGTCATATTCATTTCGAAACATAATGTTGAGACACTTCTGAATCGATGGATTTTAAGATGAGAACAACAACGACAAAAACCAAACCTACTGCTGTCGAGCGACCCTGCGTGTCTCAGGGTAGAACTGTGCTTCGTGGGGTTTTCAGTGGCTATGTCCTTTCAGAAGTAGATAGCCAGGCCTTTCTTCCTCGACGTCTCTGGGTGGATTCAAACTGCCAACATTTATGCCAACCGCTTAACCATTCGTACCATCCAGACACCCACTTATTCCCTCTTTCATTCACTCAGCGAGTGAGCATGGGTGTCTGCTGTGTGCCCGGGCTGGGCTGAGCGCTGGGACAGGGTGTGACTCACAAGCCCTAGCTGGCTTCCCAGAGCTCCCCTCCTGCAGGCAGCCGAGGCAGACCATGCCCTACGTTTGCAGCGCGAGTTGACTGGTCAGCTTCTTTACAGGCTGGAAGGTGGGAACTGAGAGCTGACCTACGTGACTGTGACTGGGAGTGTTTGACGAACAAAAGGCAAAAAAGCCTTTTAACTTTGAACCTTTTCACCAGTTAACTTAGTCATTAGATTTTGACTAATTAAAAAGAAACACCCAAGGTTTCTAGCGTCAGCCAGTTAAAAGGCAAGATCATTCAAACACTCTGCTTGATGTTTTATGTTTTCCTTTCAACTTCTTAACTTGCCTGCACATCGCCCAGGAAGGAAAGAATGATGCCCTTGGAAGTTCATTCCAGAATCTTCCAGCTCAGGAAGTTTATCCTAATGTCTTACCTGTTGTTGTCAGCTGCTATCAAGTTGGTCTGCCTCATGGTGACCCCATGCACAACGGGACTGGACTGTTGTGATCCATAGGATTTTCATTGCCTGATTTTTAGAAGTAGATCACCAGGCCTTTCTTCCTAGTCTAAGTCTGGAAGCTCCACTAAAACCTGTTCATCATCCCAGCAGCACACAAGCCTGCACTGACCGACGGGTGGTGGCTGCACGTGAGGGGCATTGGCCGGGAATTGAACTTGGGTCTCCCGCACGGAGGGGGAGGATCCCACCCCGAGCCACCTGCCCGTGTCGTACCTAAATCCCCGGTTTTCCTTTCATGTCGGCCTGTTTCTTCTTCCACTCATTTATATTTAAATGTCTGTTTGAAAACTCACTGAACACTGGCAGAGGGACCGCCAGGGGCAATTCTGTGGACCAGCCAGTGACTGGAGGGGTGGAGAGGAGGCGCCGGGGCTCATTTTCAACTTGGAAGTAATGTTGGAACCTCCCCTCCATTGTAACATTTCTTAGAAGTTGAGTTTTCCAAAAGAAAAAATCCTTGTCGCTGCTTCTCTGTATTCCCTTTTCAGTTCTCCATACTTTGAGGGTTGGGGCCAGGGATATAAAGATGAACAAAACAGACGTGCTCCCCGCGT